TCTATGATCAATCTTTTGTTCATCATTCTAGATGAGATAGTCCTCCTATTTTACATTTCTCTGAAACAGGAAAAGCTGATCTTCAGAAATGATACGTGAGAGATACTCAAAGGATTTTAGTCTTAGGTCACTATAAAGTGAAATTGTAGTATAATAAACAAGCGATACAAGCTGCTAGGACACCTCCTGGGTCTCCAGAGCTCATATGATAGCAGTATCTTTTCTTCTGAGTAACTCTGAGTTTGTAAAGTACCAATGACATAGACCACAGAGATGGACACTGAGAAGACACATAGAAAGCCTGATTCTCCTGTGGTCAATCGGAGCTACTTCCATTGAAAACATAAATGAAACTTTTAAGCTAAAATTGACTTTTATGCATAAGTAAAAAAGAGATCAACACCTGGTTTTTTTTCTCCTTTATCAGACCATCATATTTTGGATAATTTTTGGCAATAAAATAAACTTCTTAATTTGTGGTTACGATATTTCTTCTAGAAGTTTTGTCACTTAGAATTTACTGGGCACCCAGTACATAAATGTCTGCTATATAATTAATAAGAGACAAGATCTCTCTTTGTTTTTATGTGCCATGGAGTCCATTCCGACTCATAGCGACCCTGTAACAGGGTTTCTGAGGCTGTAAATCTTTATGGGAGCAAAAAGCCTCATCTTTCTCCTGTGGAGCAGCTGGTAGTTTCAAACTGCTGACCTTGTGGTTCACAGCCCGATTCGTACCCACTACACTACCAGAGTGCCTGATTTCAAACCTTAACTTTCTAAGTCCAGTGTTTCCAGAATTTTAGTACCTTACTTATCAATTTAGGTTTCTACAGATTTAACCAATACCTCTACTCGGAACATCAACAAAAAAAACCCAAGCCATTGCTGAGTTGATTCCAACTCTTAGCGATCATATAGGGCAGAGGAGACCTGCTCCTTAAGGTTTTGGTGATGTGCCGTGGAGTCTGTTCCGACTCATAGCAACCCTGTATAGGGATTCTGAGGCTGTACATTTTTATGGGAGCAGAAAGCTCCATCTTTCTCCCGCGGAACAGCTGGTAGTTTTGAACTGCTGATCGTTAGATTGGCAGTCCAACTCGTAACCACTATGCTACCAGAGCTTCTTACGGTTTTAGAGACTGTAAATCTTAATGGGAGCACACAGCCTCATCTTTCTCCCACCTCATCCACAGAGTGGCTGGCAGGATTGAACAGCAGCCCTTTAAGTTAGCAATCCAGTGCCTAACTCATTGTGCCACAAGGAATCCTTACTTCTACTGTTAGATAAATTTCATCTCTTCTGTAACTTGTTTTAAAAATCTTAAAAGTTTTTTTTGTCTACTTTTCATTTTTATCGGGATTTGGGTGATAGCTTCCAAGGTAGATTGGTTTGCCATTCGCAGGCCATACACACTGTTTCATGCCATTAATTGCAATCCCATAATAGTACTAGTATTCTTTCCACGTCGTCCCTGTGCTTCTGGCTTTCATTTGCCCTGCCTCCTTCGGCGCTACCTCCCTGAGTGAACTCTGTCCTTTAGCTCTCCAATGGCTGACTGGGACTACTGCCTTCGAGTCGCTTCTGACTCATAGCAACCCTGTATAGGGTCTCCAAGGAGTGGCTGGTGGGTTTCAATCATTGACTCTGCAGCTGGCAGTCCAGTGCTTATTCCTACAGCATCACATCGGGACTCCACTCAGTTTGGTTTAATGTCCAGTTCCAGACCTGAGGGTGATAAAGGCTGTAGTCTTGGGGTTTCCACTGATCTCTATTGATCTATCTGTAAGCCTGATCTTTTTTGTGAATGAGTGTTGTCACACATTCTCTACCACTCTATCCAGGACCTTCTATTGGGATCCCTTTTAGAGTGGTTAATAGTGGCAACTGGGCACAGTGTAGTTCTTCTGGTCTCGGGTCATGGCAATGTAGTAAATTATTGAATGACTCTTCTAGCCACTGTCTTGGTAAACTCCCACCAAACACCTTCTTCATGATGGGTCTGCGTAAGAGAAGGTTGAGGAAGATGCTGATGAATTCTATGATTCAGTTGTTGAGTGACTGTTTGCTGGGTTAATTTTGAAAATGTGGATCTCAATCATGGGTACAGTGAAGCATCTCAGAAGGAGGGGGATCTCACTATCACTCACTAGGAGCCAAGAGTGGAGCTCGGCCTTTGGATCCCCACATCCCTGCGAGCTGAGTCTCCTTGATCCAGGGAGAAAAAACTGGGACCTCAGAGGCAAGCAGAGGAAGAGCAGCCTGAACATGAGACAGTGTTGGGCTTCCCAGTCTAAGGAGTGACTGGGCGGGAGGCTTGCTTGAAGAGTGGGGAGCCTGCAAGCACTTAATTGGGGAAGCTAGGTTTGCTGACCCAGGGAGCTAGAGTGGAGTGCCTTTGGGCTGAGACTTCTGGTAGAACCACCGGTGTGTCCTGTGGGCCTTTATCAGCAGTCCTAAAAGAGCTTAGTAACATTGGCCAGGTAGAGAAAGGCCTGCCTGTGGACATAGTTAAGGAGAGGTTGTCTTGACTGGAATAACTGTGCTACGCATATTTCTGACCCTGAAATGTAACCTGCTAACTTTCCAACTAAACCCCACACTGTGTATATGGTGTCTGAGTTCTGGGTGGCCACAGCAGTGAATTATCAGACCCAGCTGAGCCCAGAGTACAGTTGCTGCTGCACAGTTTTTTGCACTGATGTGTTTGTGGTCCATTAGTCCACTGGACTCATTGTTTCTATGCATCTTTGATTTTCTTTGCTTCACACAGAGAGACCAATAGCTGCAAATTAGATGCTGCTCACCAAAGCAGGATGTAGAGAATCGTCTCTGTGGACTCTCTTAATGCCAAGTGGTGAGACTAAGATTCTGAGTCCCCAGGCCCAGCCACTCATTCCTTCCAGGTGTTTGCTTAGGACTACTAAGTTTTCATAATGTTGCCCTACATAAGTGTATGCTAAAATGATTCTTTATATCACTTTTTTAAACCATGGCTTTGAAGTACACTCATAAACACATGTAACAAAAACATAACAACTAAAATGAAAAAAGCTATCATCCACATACCACCTAAGGTCAACTCATATGCCACTTGTGGAAAGTGTATTTGTTTGGGGACACAAAGATTCAAGCTCAACTTTCTCACTGTCTTCATTAGAACACTGGAGCCCAGAGACAGCCTGCTGGTGGTGGTTTAGCCATGGAGTCAGTTTAGACTCATAGTGACCCTGCATAGGGTTTCGGAGGCTGTACATCTTTGTTGTTGAGTGCCCTAGAGTCTGTTCTGACCCATAGCAACTCTGTATAGGGTTTCTGAAGAGCAGTGGGGTGAGCTTGAAGTGCCGACCTTGCAGTTCAAACGGCTTTGCAGTCTGCTGCGTTAACACACAGCACCACACCAGGGCTCCAAGAGCAGAAAGTCTCATCTTTTCCCATGGAACTGGTAGACTTGAACAGCTGACCTTGCGGTTAGCAGGCCCAACACATAATGGGCTACACTACCACTACACAAATGGGGCTCCTTAGAGACAGCCTAGGAAATTAAAAAACCAACTTGAGTAAAAATTGTGGGTGCAAACGTTATTTGTACTGAATTCACCTATTAAAAAAAAAGTCTCCAGTTCTTGAGCACTTATGTGGACTGAGTTGAAGATTTTTAATACATACGAGTGGGATTCAGAAAGTTGATTTAAAAAATGAAATTTAAAGAAAATGGAGTCTTTACACAAAATTTTGGAAGCCCCTTTTATAGGTCATGTTTTCGTTCTGTTTCCAAGAAACAATCTGAAAAGAATGGTGTAGTGATTGGGGGTGGGGGTGGGGGGTTGTTAATATCAATTTTCTAAAAACAATCACAGTAAACTGTAAAAAACATGACTTAACAATACGTTTTAAAATAACCTCAATCCCACAGGAAAAAAAAAAAAAAAAAAGTTAACATCAAGAAGGAGGCAACAGCTAAACCCAATGAGACCTCCCAATCAGACCGGAAGGGGGAAACCCACAACTTCCTTTTGACAAGTCTAACAAAACCCATTTACAAGCCCTGGAAACTACAAAGGTAGTTGATTTCCCCAATTCAATTGCCTGGGATAAAACTAAGTCCTACAAAATCTCTTTCTAATTCCATTTTTCCTAAGGATTTTTCCTTTGGGATCTCATTAGCCAACTGGAGGAACACAAAGCCACATGTTTTTCATCCGGGGAGAGAAAAGACCCATTATCATTCATTTAGTCTCTCCTTGGGGTGAGAGGCCTGGAGGCAATGGTCCTATATTTGGGTCCAAGGGCCCGATTGCTTTTTTTATCCTCAGTAATAATAAGACGTCACCACTTTTGAAAGGTGACATTCTTTCTAGACGCCTTTGGCTCCAACGTTGTGGGGCGCAGCCAGAACTCTTTTACATGCAGATGCGGGTCAGGGCTGGGCGGAAGCAGACCCGGGCTGCGGTCCAGCTCCCCAGCTCCTGGAAGGACATCCGGGGAGCGACACCCCGCAAGGCCACCTGCGAGCGAGGATGCTGACAGGGTGGCCTGTCTGGGGGGTGCCGCCACCGGGCTTCCAACAAGGCCTCCCTTTTCCAATACGTATTAACACAAAGTTAAAAAACAAAACAAAGAACCGTTTTTAAAGACTGCGGGCGTCCGGTTCAAGGTCACACTGGGCTGGGAGCGGCGCGGCGCTCAAGCTCGCGGGACTCTCCCGCCGGCTCCCAAACCCCGAGCTTGTTGCCCGTCAAACAAGCCCAAAACGTCTCCATAAATGAGACACCGGATCATAAAAGGGGAAAACGTCCGTCCAAAAACGTTCCCAGGGAGCGTGCGTCTCTCCCTCACTCTCCTCGGGGGGCAAAGGAGCGGACAGGCGTGAAGGCACAACCCGGGGACGGGACTCCGGCCAGGGCGTCACCACGGCCGGGGCTACCGCGGCTCCATTTGCCGCCCGGAGGGTCCTGGCCGCGGTGCTAGGCCTAGAAAGAAAGGTGTCAGCACTCACCCCTGGGCCCGCTGGAGTGTCCCCGGCGAGGGCCGCCGCCTGCCGGCTCCCGGGGCGCTCGGGTGGGCGCTCTCAGAGGCCGTTGGCCGAGCGCACTGAGGCGCCGGGGCAAAGCACCGGCCGGAGCGGCCCGCAGCGGGCCTGGAGAGACTTGAGAACGGCCGGAGTTGGCCCCTTCCAGGAGCCGTAGCTAAGACAAGGTTTTGGTCATGTGATGCAGAGAGAAGGGCGGACCTGAGGTTCACGCACACGAACGGGGGCAATGAGACGGCGCTAAGGAGACATCTTTGTTGTGGGCAAAGTACGCCAACTGCAACTGCAGTTAGCTTTGTTAGCGCTTTTGCTATAAGAATCTTGTGTTTACATAGCAAACCTTTGTATGCAGTTAAAGCAACATTTTAAAGGACCGTTTGCATCCGGGCGTCCTGGTATGGCGCTGCGGATTATCGTCAGACTGCAAAATCGTTTGAACTGTAAAGTCGGTGGTTTAAGCTCACCAGCTGCTCCTTGGAAACCCTATACCGGGTCGCTATGGGTCCGAATCGACTGGACGGTACTTAACAACAGCATTTGCATGCAAATAACCATAGGGCGAGGTCTAAGAATTTGCATATTTAACATGCTCCAGGAATGAGAATTGTTGTTGTTAAGTGCTTTCGAGTCAGTTCCGACCCATAGCGACCCTGTATAGGATTTCCAAGGAGCCGCTGGTAAGCTTGAACCACCAGACCTTGCAGTTAAAACGACTTTACAGTCTGACGCATTAGCCCACAGCGCCACACCAGGACTCCAGGAATGAGAGTACTTTTCAAAAAACCTTTTTACTGTCTTATTGTCTTCTGTAACTGCGACTCTTACGGTGATTGGTCACTAATCCTTCAAAGCGGAAAACCATGGAAAAGGGGAAGACGATTGTAGTCAGGGAAGTGGGGAGGGGGAGCACTCCATCTATCACCTGGGAAACCCTCGCTCTGCTGGCTGCAAACCAGTAGCATCTTGCTCACCAACACTGGGAAAGGCTGAAGCCAAACATGGCCTCAATTTTAATAAACAACTCGTTTAGATTGTATAGATATTCTTCAAAATAATTTGAGAAACCTTCATGTTCTTGAGCCTGTTCTTATTAGTGGCAATCTATTCTAGGAATAAACGGGAACTCCTTGTGTGGCGCTGTAGGATCAGCACTGAACTGCGAACCACAAGGTTGGCAATTCAAACGCACCAGCTGCTCCTCAGAAACCCTATAGAGGATGGTTATGAGTTGGAGTCGCCTAGAAGGCACTTAAAAACAACAGGGATAACCGGAGCCCTGGTGTGGCGCCATAGGATAAGCACTGGACTGCAAGATTGATTCAAACTCACCAGGCACATGGATGGAACCAACTCTACAACATAACAAATGATATATCAGTTGTCTCAAGGCAATTTATAGGGGGTAGATTAAGATTAAACTGGGTACATCTATGATCAGAACCTCACCTCTTCCAAACAAAAACAAGTTCAAACTACTTTCAAATGAAGATTATGATTCAATGATCAAATTCAATGTTTTCTCCTTTAATCCTGAGCATCCTTTTATCTCCCAGCATCATTTGATTCTGTTAAATAAAAAGTGTTGTTTGTGAAAGCACCTAGATTCTGTCAAAACAAACACAAACAAAAACCCATTTTGTTTTGCTTACCAGGAATCCTGGTATGGTGCTGTGGGTTAATGCTCAACACTGTGAAGTCATTTGAAACCACAAGGTTGGGGTTTCAAGCTCACCAGCCGCTCCTTAGAAACCCTATACAGGTTCACTGTGGATCGGAACCAACTGATGGCTCTTAACAACAACCAGGAAGCTCTGTTTCTTAGTTGTTGTTGTAGTTTGTGTGTGTGTGTGTGATAGAGCTACATGTTGAATTTGCCTTCTGGGTCACTACATTTTTTGGATTTCAATCCTGTGAATAGGGAGTCCTGGTGTGGCGCTGTGGGTTAATGCGCCAGACTGCAAAGGCGTTTGAACTGCAAGGTTGGAGGTTCAAGCTTACCAGCTGCTCCTCGGAAACCCTATACAGGGTCGCTATGGGTCGGAATCAACTTGATGGCACTTAATAACAACAACAACAATCCTATGAATAGAGGTTGCTAATCTCACGGTCAGCAGTTCGAAACTACCAGCTGTCCCATGGGAGAAAGACGAATCTTTCTGCTCCTGTAGAGATTTACAACCTTGGAAACCCTGTGCAGGGTCGCTATGAGTTGGACCCGACTCCACATCACGTAACAACAATAACAGCATCCTAAAATGGAGTCCTGTTGTGATGCTGTGGGTTAATGCGCTGGACAGCAAAGTTGGTTTGAACCACAAAGTTGGCGGTTTAAGTTCACCAGCTGCTCCTTGGAAACCGTATACAGGGTTGCTATGGGTTGGAACCGACTCTACGTCACTTAACGACAACAACATCCTGAAATGGAAGGAGGCCTAGTGGTACAGTGGGTTAGGGAATGGACTGCTTACCTACCAGGTCAGAGGTTCAAACCTACCCAACCATGCAGAGGAAGAAAGATGAGGCTGTCTGCTGGTAGAGATTTACATCCTGAGAAACCCTCAGGAGACGTTCTCCTCTGTCCTGTAGGGTCACTGAGTCAGAATCACTCCACAGCACTGTTTTGTGTTTTGTTTTTATCCTAAAATGAAAATTGTGGCTAACACTACAAAGAATGGAAACTCCAGAATAGTTGTGCTCATGCAGAACCTGTGCATAGACAAGGAGGTAGTCATTGGAACAGAACAAGGGGATGTTGTTGTTGTTAAGTGCCCTCCTGACAGTTCTGACCCTGTATAGGGTTTCCAAGGAACAGCTGGTAGGTTTGAAAAACCACTGGGTTTGAGGCACAGAGAAAAAGGTGTCCAGAAACACAATTAAAACCTGGGTCGTTTACCAACTAAAATGTTATGCCCAATTCCGAGAACTGCTGAGGACTCTGCTGCCCCTCCCACCTCCTTCTTTTGCTTGAGCAGTTATAAAGACATGTTATCAGGGTGTGCCTGGTGCACTGGAGCTGAGCAGTGAGATCCTGGAATGAATAAGAATGGCTCATGGGCTTAATAAGCCTTTGGACTGTCTTACAGGCGTAAACAGTTGCAGACTAGTCCTTGAAACAAGTAGCAGTGACCACCGAGAGAGGCCAAGAACCTGGAACTCAGCCTGGGGTTTGAACTGCAGTCCAAAGATGGAACACATGCATGCCACCCCATAATATGTCCTGCCAGTTCCTCCCAGATGCCTTCACATCCAACTCCACCTTGCACAGAACCAACTACATTCTGAACTCTTACTGTTCTCGCATTTCATTATCTTAGTTTCACCACTTCCCCACCTCATTTCCACCAAGAATCATGAATAAACATGAGATTTTCTTCCCATCCCTGTCCAAGAATATTTTATGGACCCCCAACAAATCAAAGACTCAGGGAGATAAGATGCGGATTAGCATTGTAAATCTCTCCTCATTCCCTCAGGTCAGATCTTTTCCTCTCAATAAATCTTTTGTTTGTATGAAGCTCTGTCCATCTAACCTCATCATTCTTGGTCAGTAAAGAAAAGGACACTCCACTGAAGGGTCAGGGACCCTCTACACCCTGATAACAGCTTAAAATCAGAAAAGGTGTGTGTCAGGGTTATATCCTTTCAACATACTTATTCAATCTGCATGCTAAGCATGCATGAAGAAGAACGAAGCATCCAGATTGGTGGAAGACTCATCACCAACTTGTGATATGCAAATGGATCAACCTTACTTGGAGCCCTGGTGTGGCGCTATGGGATTAGCACCGGACTGCTAAACCCAAAGTAGAGGTTCAAACCCACAAGCCACTCCTCGGAAACCCTTTATCGGGTAGTTATTGAGTCAGAACTGACTTGATGGCAATTAACAATAACAACCTTACTTGCTAAAAGTGAATATCACTTACTAAGGAAGATCAAAGACTACAGCCTTCAGTATGGATTACACCTCAACATAAAGACAACAAAAATCCTTACAATTGCATCTATAAGCAATATCATGATAAACTGGAGAAAAGATCAAAGTTGTCAAGGATTTTATTTTACTTGGCTCCACAACATCTATGGAAGCAGCAATCAAAAAGTCAAATAACGTATTGCACTGGGCAAATCGGCTGCAGGAGGCCTCTTTAAACTGAAAAACAAAAATGCAAAGAAGTCACTTTGAGGACAATGGTGCACCTGGTCCAAGCCATACTATTTTCAATTGCCTATTATGTTATGCAAAAGCTGGACAGTGAAGAAGAATGGATGCCTTGGAGTTTTGGTGTTGGTGAAGAATATTGAATACACCACAGATTGTCATAAGAAAGAGTAAATCAATCTTTGAAGAAGTACAGCCAGAATACTCCTTAGAAGTAAAGATAGTGAGAGTTTGTCTTACGATCTTGGCCATGTGTTCAGGAGAAACCAGGTCCTGAAGTAGGCTATCATGTGTAGTGAAGTAGAGGGTCAGGGAAAAAGAGGAGGACTCTTAATGAGAGGGATTGGCACAGTGGCTACAACAATGGGCTCAAGCGTAGCAATGATTATGAGGATGGGACATGCTGGGCAGTGTTTCCTTCTATTGTACATAGATAGGGTCACTATGAGTCCGAACTGACTCAACAGCACCTAACAAGAACAACAACAGTACATTTATGTTGACATATATGAATGAAACACATTTATGATTTAACCATCACTGACTATGTTTTGCAACCACTGCTGCCTCAAATCTTTTGTAAGGAAAAGGTGGTCTGTAAATCTAAACAAATTAGCATAGCCATCTAATCTCATTCTGAGAAATTCTACCCAAGTGTCCCCATTGGACTTTTTCTCTCAACAGGGTTTCAAACTCAAATTTCTCCCTCTTACCTATCCATTTACCTTCTTGTTGTCAGATAATGGTAGGGTCATCGTCCCAGTCACTTGGTTTCAAATTTCTGAAGTCATCTTTCAATGTCAATGCTAAATACCCACATTCTCTGCTAAGTCATTACCCATCACTTGGGTTTTACTTTTTTAGTGGCATACCATCCCCAGTCACCCACACATCTGTCAGTTTGTCCTACTGTGATGCTGGAAACTGGTGTTTCTAATACCAGCAAGGTCACCGATGGTGGATAGGTTTCAGTGGAGATTCCAGACTACCAAGAGACTAGGAAGAAGGATACAGCAGTCCACTTCTGAGGGTGTTGCCACTGAAAACTATGATTCTTCTTGT